GCGGGGCCTGGAGCTGAAGGAGCTGGGCCTGCTGCGGCTCTTCCTGCAGCCCAGCCTCCGCTCCGCCACGAGACCTGGCGCATGGGGCGCAACGGGGAGTTGGGCGTTGCGGGTGGAGTATGGGTTGTCCATGTAGTGGTGGTAGCCTTTCTATGACTTGAAGGGAAGTTTAAAAATCAATTGGAAAATGCTAAGGGTGCCCCCCCCCCCCTCCCCCCAGTTTTGAAATTTTGATACTCACCGGGTCGTTTTGAGTGTTGTTTTGACCAGAAAAAGACGATCTCACTCAAAAGCAGGACTTTCCGTAGTCCGAGATGTGTTGGGTAACCTGGTTTGCTTTATGAGTGTAGAAGCTCCAGGACGCCCAAGTGGTAGGTTAAAGGAGACAATACCAGTTCCTCACTTTGATGCCCCATACCTCCTGCTAGCCTTCATGTGTTTCCACTAGGAGCAAGACACTCTCTCAAACCTGGCTTCGCCCCATAAAACCGTCATTTGTTGGACCTTTACAAAGACGAGGTAGCAAACGATGAAGCTTCAATTTGATGTTCACCCAGCTCAGTGAGCGTATGTGTGTAGCTGTTTCTGCTGCTTGGCACCAGAGTTCTGCTCTTGTAGTGTGTGCATTTTGTGTTGGGCTTGGTCATCACATGCATAGCGTGTGTATCCAGATGTTTTGGTTGAGGAAAACTGGAACACCCCCCCCTTTTTGGGGTTCCGCTGTCCCCTTGCTTCATCTCATCCGAACTGACCGCGCAAGGAATCTGGCCTCGATTTCGCAGCGCCTGGCTCGTTTGGTACCAGCCTCAACGCAAGGGTTCAACGGTGCTTAGCCGAACAAAAATGGACGAGGTACACACCCCTTCTTCCCTGGGTCGCGGTGGCTTGGGGGGAATGCCGAGATTACAAATGAGGGTAAAGGCTCCAAGCAATATAATCTAAGATCATGGCTCAATCTACGCCACAACTCCATGCTAGTGGAGGGTTTGGGATGGGAAAGAGGGTTCCACATTTTTTGGGGGGAAGGAGCTGCTCTCAACTTCCTGCCCTTCGGAGTGATCGAGGACCTATGGCGATGATTTTGAGTTTTAGAGGAACTCGAAGAGAGTCACGGCAGTTTGCGATGGTTGCAATTTTGGACTGCCATTTCCTCCCAGCAACCGGCTAATCTGGTTGACCCCACCTGGAATTTGAAAGAATCCTGCCTTGAACAACATGACAACTTGTCAATGTCTATGATCCTCTCATTTGAGGAATCCCAGGCCCCAAACACTTCTAGGCTTAGCCTGCCTTTTTAACTTTTTGCCCTAGTGCATTTTTCGTCATGAGATGACCATCATTTTTTTGTGTAGCAATCCAAAACAACCTGTTTGGTATTGAGTTATTCACGGTTTATTTTAACCGACAACATTTCGTCAGGTTGTTACTTCCGGTTGCTTAGAGTTTCCTAGGCTCACATTGCCACGGAGCTCGGCAACCTGGAGGTGCGGTTTGGTAAAGCCATCGTGGTGCCAAAGCCATTTGGGTGGCTCGTCTTTTTGCAGAATTCGGACCCCCCAAAATGGCGGTGTTCCTTTTGGTGTCTGTTCAAAGCCGCAAACGAATGGGTACCAAATCTCAAAAAGACAGACCCATTTGAGCCATGCCCCGTGGACTCGTTTAGAAACTATAGGTGCGTGAAAGGAACGTAAGGTGACAGCAGATGGCAGAATTTCCGCCATTTTGGTTTAGTCATCCACTGACTTGCCCACACCTACTGGGAACTGTGCCATCTACTTTGCCCTTGGAGTACCCCGGGTTGGAGGGGTTGGTCATCCCCTCAAAGGGCTTGTATGCATTAATACAAGGGTTGCCTCAATGGGACTCTAGACCGTTTTGCTTGGGATTGGTGTGGGCAATCATGCGCTCCTCAGGGAATTTGGACAACCCATGGTTGTCTCCCTGGCAATCTACGCAGACTTGGGTGTGTCTTCGGAAAAGATCCCTGAACTATGGGAGGTGCTTGATTGGAGGAAATGAGAAGGACGCCAACTCCAATTCTGGAAGCACTTGTTGTGGTTGTGTCATAGGGGTGCTTTTGGAGACGCGCTCCTGTTTTGGATGCCAAAAGGAAGCTAGCCATTTCGGGGGATGTCCTTAGTTTTGACAACTCGGAGTGACAAGCAAGCCAGTTGTCATGACAACCCTTGAGCTGCGATTTTTATTTACCCTCGATTAAAGGTAGGTGCTGGCGGAGAGGAAATCGTGCCAGGTTTTGATTCAAACAGACCCTGTTGCATGTACCCCATGGGCATGCACAGTGTTTTCAGTTTGACTCACCCCTCCCCCCCCACCCCAGTTCAAACAAAAACAAATTTCCAAAATTGACAACCCCAATATCAAACCATGTCAAGTTCACATGCCACACAACTGCCGCACAAAAAGCCGCCACAGCCCGGCCGCCCGGCCACATCGTTTTCCGCCCCAAAGCGCGCGGCACGTCACGCCGCCGCAGGGCTACTTCTCCGCGGGCTCCGCGCCGGCGCAGCTGGCGGCGGTCTACGCGGTGGGCTTGGAGTTCGGGCTTACGGAGGTGGAGGCGGGGATCGGGGACCTGAAGTCCAGCCCAACAGCCTAACAGCCGATACAAACCACCAGCCCAAACAAACCTTAGACCAAAGACCCTAAACCCAACAGCACAAACAGCCTAACTACCCAACAGCACTTCCCGAGTTCTTGGTCTTTAACCTTTTGGGTTTGGACCATTTGAGTGGTAAACAACAGGTTTATTTGGCTTTCTTGGCCAATCCACTCGCAAAGTGAGCCTTAGAACCAGGAAAGGGCAAGGGGCCATCTGCCTACCATAAGGGGTCATGACCCCATTTTCAGACAGAGAAAGACCTGTTAGGAAACAAGTGGCTTAGAGATTACGAGAAGGTACGTGGTCATTTTGCTGGAACAGCAACGTCTCGCTAGGGTGAATTGAGTCTTGCTCACATACTTTAGAGCAGTTCTCAAGCTTACAAGCTTAGTGTGGAGAGGACACGGGGGGGAGTCACCTAAATTTCTCACAAAACCCAGAGTCCCATCAAGTTGCCCATGTCCTCTCCGGGCAACAAGCAATTTTGTGCTTTGTTCATATTGATGTCTTGTCCGAAGGCGCAAGAGCTGGTGGCGGCGACCGCGTGGCATGTTTACTCGAGTCTTGTCTGAATTCAATGCCCGGAGTGAGAGCTTGGCTGAGCTGCTGGCTCAAAATGAGACCCGGCTTCTTGAAGGCTTGTACGGTCCATGCTTCAATTTGGCTGTGGGTACTTTAGAAAGTTCAACCATGGCCAAGACGTTAGCCAAATTTTGACCGCTGCATTCTCTCCTTTGGGCTCCTAGTTACCAGTACATAGGTTGCCAGGGATTTACAACTGTAGGTCGGAAAGGGACTCACTCCCTTGGTTACCTACGGAAACTGGAAGCAGTGGGCCTCAAGAAGGTTTACATGAAAACAGGTGCTTTGGTTTCATCTGGGGGCCAGAGGGCCATGCTTCCCCAGCCACTGGTAACTAGGGTCATGGGATTCGAACCCGAGAGAGGGAGGGCAGGGTTAGGATCCTCAGTCCCAAAAAATCGCTGCGGAGATCAAGAGGCCCTTTGGATTTATCAAGTAGACAGTGGGTTGCTTGCTTTTTTCCTTTTGCTGGGGTTTCCCTTTAAACCCAAGCAACCAACCAAGGACCCTTGTTTTGTTTCGAAGGGGTTACCCTTTAAACTCAAGCAATGTAACAAGGACCCTTGTGTTTCCTCTTGTTTCAACGGGGTTTCTCTTTAACATTTGGCAACCCCCGCAACACAAAAAATGAACCAGGCGCCATGTTTTTCCCCTCACTTCCTGAGTTCATGAACTTTAAACTTTTTGGGAAGACCGTTTTAGTGGCAAGATTCAAGTGTGGACGTTTTTTTTTGGGCCATCCACTCAGCAAGCGAGCCCCTGAAGAAATCTGCGCCCCCACTGCTCCGAGGACGCCCTGCACGGATACCCAGCTCCGGTGTCTGCCGCAGCGGCTTTTGGCGCTGAGCCGCGCCGGGCGGTCCGTGGCCAACCTGGCGAAGGGAGGCCGCCCAGGCGCGCGACTCACGTCGACGACGCTCGTTTTGGGAGGAGAAGACGGGGATTCTAGGGGCACCTTCCATGTCCATTCTTTGCAGGGATCCTTCTTTCAGGAAACCAACAAAAACCCAGCGGAAACAGATCCGGTCTTTGAAAAGAAGGATGGTTGAAAAGAGTGGGGAATCAACCTCCAGATGGATGGTCTGCGGGCCTAGGCCGTAGCTGTCATTTTGATTGGTGAGCTTGGGTAGATGGTTTGGATGGTAGAGGGGATTTTGCTAGGGAAACCGCATCTATTTTGCCAAAAGGACACCTATTGTCTCGAGCCTCTACGCCCTGCCAGAATGGAAGCTGACGATCGGCTTAAGAGGAAAGCCTTCCTTTTGTGGAACCCGGAGCCCACTTCGTTGAGGAAAAAGGGTAGGACGGGCAGAATATGGGGCACGGATTTCTCCGGTTTTCTTTTCGGGATCCGGATTCTTGGGAACTCGCTTTGGTTCATGCGTGTTGATACCTAACCTTGGGAGAGTTTACTTCCTCATGAAAAGTAGTATATGCTATCTCACGGCAGAAAATATTGCTAAGAGGGTAGCCTCATTTGGGTATGGGTCAAAGTAAACCACCAAAAAGACAGCAGGTTTTTTGTCATTCCATCTACCAGGGGTCCATGACCGGTCCATGACCGGTCCATTTTGGGGTCCGATGCTTGGCCCAGCGCCTCACTTCCTTTGCGCACCAGGCTTCCCCGCAGCCTGCAGCGCCGTTGCTGCGCAGGCGGCGGCGCGGGCCTCGCAGCTCTCGTCCGAGGCCGCGGTGCTGGCAGCGGCGGCGGGGGCGATGGCGAGTCAGGGCTTGCGAGTGGAGGAGACGGGGGGGGGGGTGGGCGTGGGTGCCTTGGGCGGTTGGCTTTTGGCTGGTGGTGAGTGGGTGAGGTGGGTGCGTGGATGCCTTGGGACTTGGATCTTTTTGGAGTCGCAGCGGTTAGAACCCCCAGCCAGCCCACAGCCCACCAATTGACCTGAGCAACCGTCAATATTTGCGGCCAAGGCACTCTAAACGGATATCCACTACTAAACTGCCCAGTCAGTTGGGGACACAATGAATATTTGACCGTGGATCACCTACAAATAGACCCTCAGACCACATGAGAGACGTTGCTGGCCTGGTTTTAAGGGTGGGCTAAATGAGCAGCTCAATTTTTCTCTTTGCGGGGGAGAAAGCAAACATACCCGAGATGTTCAAGCCAGTTGGGGGTCGTTGAATTCCCCCGCCTTTGGAGTCTCAAATTTGAGCTTCCGGCGTCCAACTTCATGTTCCAGTTGTTTTCTTGTTTGCAGGCGTCAAAGGTAAATAACAGCTTGGTCTTGCCAGCTATTTGCAATGTGGCTCACCTTTTCTCTTCTCTTTGGTGGAAAAAACAGTGGTGGGCCCCATCCGTGTTGAATCCCTCTTAAAAGGCGTGCCTCAAAACGAGTGCAAAGGAATCAGGGAGGCCCTCGTTTGACTTGTAGGGGATCCAATTTTTCCAGCAGAGAATTGATACTCTGTAGATGTTGTTCAAAACCCTTCATTCCAGCAGGGTTGGACTAACCCCCATGAAAAGACATCTTGGCCATGGGGTCAACCAGGGTCAGGTTTAACTTTGCCCAACCGACACTTGTTTGCATTACGCTCATGTCCATTAATGGATGTATGGGTATGTGTCAAAAGGGGACCCCCCACAAATGGGGCTGCTCTTTGCTTCCGATTAAACCCAGCCGCGAAACGGTACTCCAAAAGCACCACATGAAGGGACCCCCCAAAATGGTTGTTGGTCCCTTTCTTGGTTTTCCTTCACAACCAACCCAAAAGCAGACCGCTATCTTCTTGGTGGCTCCCAGCCATCCCCTTCGCTTTTCAGCCTTTTCGTGTTTAGGGGTATTTTCCATTTAACCCACTAAAAGTTAGTCACTTTTCGCGCGGGATCTGAGGGCAGTTTTGAGACACCCCCCATTTGCACCGATTTGCAGGACCTGGCCCACCTGTCAGACCAGCCAAAGCAGCTGGCCTCTGCCAGGAGGTCGGGAGCCAAAGCGTTCCGAGGAGTTTTCCCGTTGGCCGGTTGTGCAGAACCCGATTTTCGGTTGGCATGTTTTGTGATACCAAGTGAATCCCTCAAATGACAAAGTAGTCGCAAGGATGGCCCACTTCAAAACACAGACTTGTGCACTTTAAGTAGAATTTTACAAGTTCCTTCCAAACTGTCCAAACCTGGCAAGTGAGGTATGTACTCTGTTGAAACCAAATTACCAGTGTTAGCCGATGTGCTTGTCAACCATTGAACCTGTCTACTATCCAACTCTCTAAATGCCTCCTCGAGTTTGGTGTAGCGATCTGCTACGTTCGTGTATTGGTTAAAAGATGGACCAGGGAACGCCGAAAGGATAACAAGTTGAACAGGTTAGCAATCTCTCGCAATGCAGCCTGCATCCCTGTGTTCTTCCTGCCCTAAATCGCTCGGATCCCAAAGGGTTAGATTTCGACGTTTTGGTTGCTTTGGCAGCAACAAGTTCGGAAGGAGTAATTTGGTCAAGTGACCTGGGTACAGGTTTGTGTGTGTGTGTACGCTTTTTGTTGTCCCCGTCCATGCGGGAGAGCACTAAGTATGGATCAGAATCAAGCATTTGTTTGGTTGGGAAGGAGAGGTCTAAACTAGATGGCTAGGTCCCCTTTCTCACCCCTTTTTGGGTTGGGAGGGTTCCCCTACTAAAATAATTAGACTACAGAAACAAAGTTGGTACCCTTATTCTAACCTCTCTACTGGAGGACCTATGGCTTCTTTGCCTCCAGCTCATTGGGAGCCAGGCTTATGCACCTCCTCCAAAGGCCTGGCGCCAGAAGGACCCCCGCCTTGGCTCAGGTTGGGCCTCACCTCCCAGGCCGAGGTGGTGGTGCAGCGACTGCTGAGCCACGAGCTGAGCGCGGGTTGAGCCCAGACCTGTGGGACCAAAAGTTGTTGTTGTTTGCTGTCTTTTTTCCCGGAGAAAGTTTCCTTTATTTAGGAAGTTGTTCTTCTTTTTTTTCTCGGAGAAAGGTTCCTTTAGGAAGCGTCCTTTTTTTTCTCGGAGAAAGTGTCCTTTAGGAGCAACGCACTTCCTGAGTTCCTGAACTTTCGACTTAGAACGGTTTGGCCTGTTTTAGTGGCAGAACATAAAACAAACAAAGCCATCGGACTTGGTTTGAGCGACCCACTCAGGAAGTGGGACACCTACCAAAAGCAGAGTGGCCTTGGTTTGAACACCTCCCCAAGAAGTGGAGGGACCGGACAAGCGAAGAGGACGGGTCCCAGAAGCCCAACACCCGACCAACAGCCATGTGGTGGCTTGTTTTGGAGGAAGGCCTTTGGGGTTTAAAGGGCAAAAGGACACCCCCCCGCCCATGTCGAGACAAACCCATGCTTTTCCCCGGTGAAAAACCGAATGTAATGTGAAGTGGTTTTTGCCGTCTCATGTTGCGTCGAGTATTATACCGTGAATGGGCAACAATCACTTCGCACCAGTTGGTAGATGGTTTATCCAAGTGTTCATAGGGTTTCATCCCTCCAACTGGTGCAAGATTTTGTCCATCCACACTAGGTAAGCAGCGGTTATCCAAGAGTCATATTAATCTATTGGTATCCTGTCGCAAGCAGTGAATGAGTTTCTTTGCATCCGAGAGTTGTCCAGTCGCAACCCGTCCCTTGGTTGCTTCTTTCTCGCAGGGTTTTTTTGAACCGCGTCTCTTTTTCTCAGAGGTCGCCTTGGGTTTCATGTGCCTGGGTAGTTTTATCGGTTACCAGTGTACCCAAAGGGTTGCTTGGTACCTTTGAGGATTCTTTGGGAGGTTGAAAGGAGTTGAAGCGCCTCCTGTGAAGGTAAACTGCCATTGTAAATGTAACCATGAAGACACGAAGACGCACCCAGAAGGGAATGTGTGCGTGTGTTGAATTAGTGGACCCCGAACTGTTTTTTTCCCCTTATTGCCCTTCACACAACCCAGCAAATAGCCAAGGGAAAGCAGAGTGTGACACGGGTGTTTGGTGCATACTTTTCTGGTCAACCACCAAAGCTCGCACGACTGGTGATAGGGACGGCCATTGGATGGTCAAGGGGAAGGTTCTGGGCGCAGGCTGGCTTGGGTGCTTGCATAATCCATTTGGTATGCAATTCCTTGTAACTTGGAGCCCCAAGCTGAGGAACTGAAATCAATCAAGCGCACAAAGGGGAATTGGCCCCCGCATGGGGTTCATAATGAACCCAACTGGACAAATAGCGACTCAACACCAAACAAACTGAAGATTCACCCTATGGTTCCTTGCCCCCAGAAAAAAATGAATGGCAAGGCCCCAATTTGGAAGATGACAATCCTGGGGTAAATCATGGTGTTTTTTTTGAACCTCCATTCTTTTAATGTTAATGGTGGTAACTGAACCCCAGGGTTCATATAGCACAGCCAAAATACGGGGGACCCGCGGCGGGTTTCTTTCGGAGGCTACACGGTGACGGGCTTGGAGTTGGGACTGCAACTGGGCGCGGATTTGACCGCCCAGCTCACGCCCCAAGACGGCCGGGAGCTCGGCCTGAGTCGGGTTCGTGGGATGTTTTCTTCCAAAAGCCGGCGGCTTTTGGACGAAAACAAATCAAGTTCAGGGGGTTGGGCTTGCCATCAGTTCGGGGCATGACTTTCTTCCTTGCAGCACGGGAAGTGAGTGGGTGTTTGTGTTGCAAAGTTAAGCGACCAACCTGTTGAAAGTGAGAGCATCTGTGGCCTCGACATCAGGCGATCCATGGCTCCTTGTTACAATGCAGACAGGAGCATGAATGAGTCCATGGTTGCCCTCCCAAAGATTGACTGACTGGCCATATTGACCAAACCAGTTGGGGTCTCGAAACTGGAAGCCCCGGGCCAGGGGGTGGCATGTCGGGAACACAAGGAGTGGGAAGCTATAAATTGTGAGTATGCATAGAAATATGTGTATAGTACATGTAGATACATGTACATATATTCATACCCGGATGCTCCTAAGGAACAAACTTCCGCTTTGTTTGCTGAAATAAGCAAACAAACGCTCATGCCTGTCAAAGAAGCTGTATTCGACACTAAACGCTTATTTAGCTTATGTCCAATCCTGCCACTTCGTGATGGTACCCAGTGGCATAAAAGCGTGAAACTCGGTTTTGGGGGTTGCGTGCATTGCTTCGCATGTCCCGCAAAAAATCCTCGCATATCCCGCAGATTTCCGCGTATGTTGAGAACGTAGATTTCCGCATATTTCCCGCTGATGTCCCAGAATTATTCGCAACACTTTTTTGCTAGGGCTGATTGAAACATGCAAACAACATACTAAGTTGCACTTCCGCGCATGTTCGGAATTTCTTTCAAACAAGTGAAGAAGCAGGTTCATATTTGAGGTTCCAGGTAATTATACTTGTGCACGTATGCATAGTATGTACTGTAGGTATATATTGACAATCACAGATCGGAGTTAGCTTTCTCCGCACGTACTTGAGTTCTTAGATTCAATCTTCCGGGCAACTTCAAGCTGCAGCGGTTTTGCAACGAGCAATCTTTGTGTTTGCCCTTCAAGACCACCCCAAGAGGGTACTTTCCAAACAACACCCCTCCCCCATTTCGGAAGGATCTTCCCAAAGCCAAGCAAGCCGCCCCACAACAAGCAAGCAAAACGAGCAAATGGGTGTGGCCCATGATTTGCTGCGTCTAATGACGACTCAGGCTGCCAAGCGACCTGTTATCATTTCCGGGCTGTGGGGGGGGCTACCTTCCGGGAGCAAAAACCTTCCCGAGCGGCCTGTTGGAATGCTTCGGGGGGCCTTGGGGCTGCTGGTGTTGCATCAGTGAGTCCTGACTGCGAGATTTGGGCCGGCCAGACCGAGAGGGTCTCGTGTCAGGTGAAGTGTCATGATTCATAGACCAAACATAATGTGAGAAGGGTCACTCCAGAACCACGTGTGAGAAATAACCCATACTGGCCCATACTTGTTTATTTATCTAGAAGAACAAAGGGGGATGGGTATTGGTGTGTTATTTTTCCCGTGAAGCCAAGTGAGGATTGTTTGTTTGTTGTGTAAACAATAGAACAGAAAACAGAAAGCAAACTGCGAAGTCCAGACCCCCCCCGCCTTTCATGCAACACCCACAGCCCTGCATTCAGGCGAGCTGAGCGTGCATTGGGCCGTGACAACGTTGGACAAGGGCGAGGAATCGGCCTACGGCACCGCCGCGATCGTGCGGGCCATGCTGTCAGGCACCTCGCGGAAAAATCCGAATCTCCGAATCCGCTTCTTTGGGCTTGCTGCACGGTTGCTCTCAAAATTAGTTCAGCTGCAAGCGAAAAGTTGACAACAAAATGTGCCGAGTGCTGAAAAGTTTATCAAAGCTGAAAAGCATTCTCCAAGTGGTCAAAGCGCCGAAAAATGTGACAAGTCAATTCTGCTCCTTTCTGAGGGGCGTTGCTTCTGCGGTGTGTGGATCCCTTTAAACCAAAATACCTCAGGGTAAATTTCGATGTCACAGCTGAGGGTCCGAGAGCTTGATGGCCGGGTTCCCGGTTCCCGGTTCCCCACACCCATATAGAGAGCATTATTCCAGTGTGCCTTGGGTATTTTCTTAGTATACCGTAGTATACCCCTAATATTCACTCAGTATTCCCCTAAGGTTCCCCAAGAATTTTCTTGGTAATTCCCTAGGAGTATCCTGGTAATCTGTGTTCCTCCAGTAGTCCCCTATCATCCCCTCGGTATTCCAAAAAAGATCCTTTAGTTCTCTCTTGTTATACCCTCCAGTATCTCCCCAGTGTTCCCCTAGTAACTATTCCCAAGTATGTTTTTCAGTACTCCCCTATTGTTTTTTTTTTTTTTTTCCCCCGAGTATTCACCCTTTGTGCTTCCCGAGTACTCCCTTAATATACCCCTAGTATTCTCTTTCTTATTCCCCCTAGCATTCTTCTGGTGCTCCCCGAATATTCCACGCATATTGCCTCATAATCTTCTCTGTATTCTCCTGGTATTCCCCTAATTCCTTTTGCTTTTTTCTTGGTCTACGCCTACGCTTCTCTCAGTGTTCAAGAGTTCCCTCAAGATTCCTTTAATATTCCCCTTAGCAGCTTCTTAGTAATTCCCTAGCAGACCCCCTGTATTCCCCTCAATATTTCCCTACTATTCCTCTAGTATTCTCTTGGTGTACCCTCTAGTATTTCCGCATTGTCCTCGAATAGGCCCCTATTCCTTTAGAATTCTCTTACCCCCAGAGTTGTATTCCCCTAGTCTTCCTCTAATAGTCCCCTACTCCTTTGGCATTCCCTTACCCCTAGAATTGTATTCCCCCAGTATTCCCCCAATATTGTTCAGTATTCCTTAGTATTTTCTGGGTGTGCCCCTAGTACTCTCCAAATATTCCCCTAGTATTCTCCCGCATTCCCCTTTGTACTTCCCCTGGTATCCTGCACGTGCGCTCCAGTTTCTGACTAGCAAAGAACTAGGGAAACACCGAGGGGATAATAAGGGAATTCCAGGGGAATAACAAGAGGAAATGCTAGGATGATACTAGGGGAATACTGGGAGAGAATACTACGAATGCACCAAGAAAATACTAAGGAATGCTGGGGTTACTGGGGGAATATTGGGAGAATGCTAGGGGTATTCCAAGAAAATACTAAGGACTACTAGGGCAATATTAGGGGAATACTAGGCGAATATAACTACTAGGAGTGAGAGAATGCTAAAGGAATAGAGAATACTAAGGGGTGGGGGATACTGGGGGACTATTGAGGAATATTAAAAGTGCTGAGAGAACACTCGGGGTTTAAAGGACCATGGCAAGGATGGGGGGTGTATTAAAGGACAAATGTTTTTTTTTTTTTTTTTTTTTTTTTTCGGGGAATTCTCAGGGAATAGTAAGGAAATGCTATATAATGGAACACTGGGAGAGAACACGAAAGAAATACTCAGAAAACACTGAGGGGACAATTACGGGAAGTGCAAACACCTCGAGAAACCCAAACAAAAACAACAATCCCCCGAACAAAACCTTGGAGGTACTGGTCATTTCCCCCCCAAGTGTTTTTTGTTTTTTTGTTTTAAGGTTTCCTCGAGGTCTTTGTGTTTTGTTGGTTCTCCCGAGGTTTGGGTCGCATGTCCTTTTCCAGAGTACATGGGAATGGTGTACTAATGGGTGTTGTTCTGAGCTTTTCAGGTATTTCACAAATGCAGGCGCCATGGCGGGCCCTTCTGTATTTTTATGGGGCTGTCAAAAGAACCCAATCATTTTGTGGCTGCAATTCCACGAAACCAATGGCCATGGGACTGACTTTGCCCAGGTTTGTGTTGATGCAAAGCCGCGTGGTCTTGGCAACGCCGGGAAACACCAAATCTTGGGGGAGCTCCAATTGGACACTGGGAGTTGTCGTCTCTTTCGGGCCCATGATTTGGTTGTTTTCCTAATCTATCTATTTGTGAAAGACGTTACGCGGTTCAGCAGCACAAATGAAGCCAATGACATCGGTATTGGATCGGTTTCCCGCAGTTGGGTATTTCCACCAGGCAGTTGGCGAGTGGGTGTGCATTTTTCCAGTCGCTGTGAGTGTTCTTTTTTGGACCTCTTGAATCCTACTACCGTATCGGCCGGAAGGATTCCGCACGTGTTTTGGGGGAAACGCCACCTGACATGTCGATTGCTTCACGGTTATGGGTATGTGTTTCAGTGCTTTGCGTATTCAGGTTCTATTTGCTTTGTTTACAACATGGGGGGCTGCAACTTATTTGTTGACAACACTTAGTATGTGTCTTCATCATTTTCTGGGGTCTCCAAGACGATGTTAAATCTTGGGCTACGTAGATTGGATAAAACAATCAGAATCAGCAGCTCTCTTGTTTCGTACCCCCGGTGTTGGGCATTTTTCAGATCCAAGTTTTTTTTCCCCTTGGCCAGTCAACTCAAACACACCGGAGCAAGCGGGGGCCAGGGGAAGATATGCGCCTTTTTTCAAACTGACTGCCACACAATGGCTGGTTTCCCTTGCCGGGTTCCCTTTTTTCTTCCACCCTCAAAAAGGGATCAAGATCAAGCAAGGCTGCATGAACTTTGTCGCCCCCCCCCCCCCCGCACAAGCAACTCCAACAACGGGTGGTTTACCTTTTTTTGAGCCACACACCCAATTGTCCTAAAAGTGGAAAACAGGATCGTAACAGGATTGTTGTTGTCGGTCTTTGGACGTCGCCCTCGGCAGTTGATTGTGCTACTGTTGGCTTCGGCCACATTTCTATGATACGTGGGACTACCCTTCCTAGCAAAGTAGTCATGCACGCGGGAATCCGTGGCGTCACACAAGGGGTCCCGTTTTCCGCACAGCTGCGCACTGCCTCCCAAAACTTGCATACGTGGAGGTCAGACTCAGAAGTCTGGTTTTGGGCCCGCGCCCGGTTCGACTTCCCAAGGCATGGCTCCAGGGATCGCACGGCACGCGCGTCAGGTGCCGTACGCGGTAAGTCGATTTCGAGACATCGACTCCTTTCGTCGGCCAGGCGCAAGCCGCAACGCCCTCAGCGCGGCGTACAACTCCGCCGCACAGGCGGGGTCGGTCACTGTGCGAGTGGACCGACCTCAGATGGGTTACGAAACTCAGTTGGGACGATCTGGGTCCCAATATACACTGAAACCTTATATAATATATATATATATATATATATATGTGTATATATATGGCTCTTTTTCTTGGAGGGTATTTGTGGTACAAAACCGGGAAACCAAGGGAAAACCCACCCATTTGGGGGGGGGGTCACCCGACAAGAGACACCTCTCGAGCCCTTGGAACACCTGGCAATCACGCAAATAATGGCTGTGTCTTTTGAGAGGACCCCGCACAAATGGTTGGTTCCAAGTGGTGTCCCTTTCAAAGCAGCCCAGAAAAACGGGTAGCGTAGAATTTCCTAGTCTAGGGGAACTACCACTTGATTGGTATGGTCCAAAGTTAGCATCAAGGGACAGTTCCCACGAAACAAAAGGTGCGGATAGCCACCCCTTCTGATTTCAGGTCTCCTTGAAGGCTTTGAAAAACTCGCCTGCGTTGCTTTCTTGGGTGTTCAAGCTCGGTTGGAGTATTTCACCCTACTCCCTTGGACCAAAAGCATGAATGCTTTTTGACCAAAGACATGAGCTCTTGGGAACCCGGGGTCATTTCTGTATTGAATCCCTCGAGCCGCGTTTGTCTTCTGTGTGGGTTGAGATCCGATCAAGTAGGGGCCAGCAGAATCCTACCAAAAACGCTGAAAATCGCCAACACAGGGGGCCAATCGGCCGAATTTCGCATTCTTGACCTGTTTGCCAGGGCGGTTCCTTGATTTGGGGGGCGCTGAGAATGTCAGACCTCCAAAAGATCTTAGCGTAACCGCCTTGAGACCTCATCTGTTATAGTAAAGAGATTGGGGGGATTGTACCTTTTCCGGGCCCTGATAGGTGTTTGGGGAATGGACCAAGGTCTGCAGAACTCACTTGTCCAAATAAGTCCTGCTGCAGACTCCCTTTCGGCAAGCACTTCCGAAACAAATCACCTCGAAATGAGACCTTTGGGGAAGATTAGCTTCATGATGAAGCTGAAAAGTAGGTGTCCTGCAAAAACGATCTGGTTTCATTGGGTGCCGCCTCTGGAGGAAGTCCATAGCCGAAATTTGGAAGACTGCTATAGTGCGAGACGATGTATTCTGCAGCCTTTAAAGTTGCAGAAATGATAGGTTCAACTCTTGTGTGGCATGATCAAACCAAAACATCCTTTTAGTTGCTCCAGGAAGGTGGCACGTGTTGTGCCAGTGAACAAGTCGACACACATGGCTTTTCGTCAACCCCTCAAGGTAGCTGATTACTTGTTGCAGGTTGGGATCATCAACATCCATTTGGAGGGTTTCTGGTTGGAATCTGTATAAGCGACTCGCCCGCGCATTCTCGCCGCACTCAAGTGGCAGGTACGGCGTACCGGATCCACACGGGGATTTTACCTTTGGTTGCCCTTTTGAGACTCACTTCCTCAGTTCCTGGACTTTAAACTTTTCGGGAAGACCATTTTAGTGGTAAAAAGAAAGTTTGAACTTTTTTTGGGCCATCCACTCAGCAAGCGAGGAGAAATATCGCAGGTGATTCGTTGCTTGCCCCCGCTTCCGGACCTCTAGCTTCTTCTGCCCGGAGAGACGGGCGAAAAGGGCACCAGACAGAACTAGCTTGCCCGGCCCAAGAACCCAAGGCTGGTGGACAAAGCCTTTTGAATAAAAAGCAGGGCAGTTCAATTGTGATGCCTGTGGGAGTGAACTAGCAAGAGCCGGTTCATATGCCGCAATTTGGATCTCCGTTGAAATTGTTCAATCGAGTGTCTTTTGAGGGATTTCTTCGGTTGTTTTTGAAGGGAATGCACAGAGAAGCCACGAATTGGCTTGGGGGTTTCCCATATGAGACAAACCTCTTCACTCGATGACCATCACTGATTTGAGGAAAAGCTGAGGTGACCTTCCAACATCCTGCCATCGAACAGACCTGCGCCCGCCGAGCCTAGAGCCCCGCTCTGCTAGAGCAGCCGCCCATGGAGCCGGTGGAGCTTCCGGCCTTGAGGCCGGAAGCATTGCCCACGGCCGGACAACATTTGGTGGCCTTTAGTGGCTCTATACTTGAGCGTTTTACCTTTTCCCGAAATAATGCGGACATGTAACCTACAAGCTTTTTAAAGTTTGGGCTTTTTGTCCCAGGGAGAAATTGTGAAAATGAGAGTCCTACCTCAGACCCCCTGAGGAGAAGCTAGTGGCACCAGAAGATGGTGTTAATTACCACGGTATGGACCGGGTCCTTGACTGTAGGTAGTCAGGGAAGCCAAAAGGGTCTTTTTTGATAGTTCTTGTTTTCAGCCTTTGCGCCAATTTGCAGGGTCCTGCAAGATCAAGGGTTGTCATGAAGGCCGAACATCAGCCCACCAAACGGAACCTCACTTGTGGCAAAACAACCGATGTTCGAAAGCATGAAAAACTTCCATTTGGTTAAGAATATGTTGTTATCTTCCCCAGTTGGTTTTAAAGGGAATCCATCACTACTGGAAATATGTTATATATTTTTTCCAGGGGACTTAAGCAAATGGAGGAAAGGGGAGTCCCAGCATGTCTGGCAGGTCCAGCCCCCACGCGAGCCCCTCCTTCCTGCGGCAGCCGCCGAGTGGCGTTTGCCCTGGCAAGATGGAGGATCAGCTGGACGCCCTGCGTGCGGGCCTCAAAGGGAGGAAGTCTCCGTTTCTTGGTTTCTTGTCTGGCTGGTTGGGATGGACCTTTAGACTTTTTAACTTTTTGAGGACATCAAGGGGTTTGCCATTAAACCCACCAACAGTTATTTATTTATTTTTGCAGGGGGGTCAACAGCAGCCAAGGTTGGCTGGCTGTCTGGCTGGTTGGTTGGTGCGGGGTTCGTTTGATTGACGAGCGCCCCGTGCCTTCTGTTATTTTCCATTTGCCTGTATAGGTATCCAGAAAGACCACCTATAGGAGCACAACAATAGAGCCAGCAGTGAAATATGCCATGCGCTTGAAACTGACTTTAGGAGACCTTTCTTCGGTTTTTGCCGGTTCGGGTAGAGCGGCTTGGAGGGCTCGATGCCCAAGCTTTTGGCGGGGCGCGGTACTGTGCCAACATGGCTGCGCATCTTGAGAGAGCAGGCATCAAGCCAGCGCTGCTTATCAACGCCGGCTACATACCAGGTGCTCCTGCAGAAATTGCGCCACTGCCTGCTGCCATTCCGGGTGCTCCATCAGGTTGCGGGGCAGAGTGGCACATCATCCGAGCCGCGTTTGTAGGTTCACCAGCGATCGCTTGGTGTGCCCGGGCAACCGTGGGATTTCGACAGCGTCGCGATCATCGATGACAGAGCTGGCTTGCTTACAACGCCTCCGCCTCACATCCAAGCCCTCTTAGCGCCTTCCCATGCCCGTCAACAAAGGACCAGGGAGTATATAGTTTGGGTAACTCACAGCACATATAGCCGAACTTGGGTTCCAAGGCTTACCCCTATGAAACACTGCCATCGCCAGGTTTGGCCGATAAAACTGCCAATGGTTTTAATGATGGGGGGGATCTGTGGTTCGAGCTGTTTGAAGGCGTGTTTGAAACTTTGGACCTGTTTTGGGGGGAAACACCTCACGTTGGGAAGAACGAGACACCGCCACTCTTCGCTGTCCCTTCATGACCCCAATGATTCAGTTCGACTTTAGCTGATTGGTTTGAAACCAAAAAGACGACAAGGAAACGAATTGCCAATGTTTGCATCTCGACTGTTGATTGTGATGTTCCTTCTAGGCAGCCACACGAGCTGTGTGAGGACCAAGAAAAACCCTAACCCAATATTGTGGATTTGCCATTTGTTTTTCTTTCAACCCACCGCAATATGACCCCAGAACATGAACCACTAGTGATTCATGAAGCATGCGATGCATTGCTACCCTAGGTCTGTTTGGTTTTTGAGCGTATCCTTTTCAGGTTGTTCAAGACAACCAAACGGAAGCCCGCCATGTCGTGCGTCCAATTGCCAGACCTCCAGCGCTGCCATCTATGTTGCTTGTTTTTTGGAGGGGGGTGGGCTGGGGGTTCCCTTTGAAGTCAACCAACCTCAAAGTTGGTACCAACTTTTATTTCGACAGAAGCCCACGGTGAATCAATCTTACATCTTTCAGTTCCCCTGTCGTCCATGTTTCAGTAGCTCCACAAGGTGATCACCTTTTGATTTCTGGGTCCCCAAGTGGGGGCAACTGATGGAAAATTCTTTGGTCTGCTGCGTCACCCCAGGTAGCGATGTGAACCAGCTGCACCTGCTGCAAGTAGAGGCCACCTCCGCGCTACGGAACCTCTCCAGCGAGCGCTGGATCCAGGAGCCGCACCGAGTTGAGCGGCTCAGGCCTTCAGAGAAGTTCGTCTCGTCACTTGCCCGAAGCTAACCTTGTGACCTTGTGGTTCTCCATGTTGGCAACCGTTTTTTTTTGGGGGGTGGCCAAGAGGTGATCACCTTTTATTTCTGCTTCCTTTCATCAACTGAGCGTCTCCACCCTGCAGGCTTGGAATTGGAGTAGTTGGTGCCAACCTCTTAGAAGTAAAGCAATGTCCTGCTTTTCTTGGGGAGGTGGTGGGCCCGATTTTCTTAACTCTAGCGAATTTAAAACACGGTGACCTTTTTTTCGGACCTGGGGGGGGTCCTTTTGCTTTTGGGGGAGATGTTTATCCAGGCCCATGTGATTTCTGCTTTTGGATGTGGCCAGACCGGCTACCCACTTGGAAGGGACACCAAGCTGGTGGACAGGGCAAGATGATCATAACGGTGTGGTACTCTTTTAGTTGGATCCCCCAAGAACGGTAGTTTTCCTTTGGGTTCCCCTTTGCAACCAGCAAGAAACGAGGCACCCCCAAGACAAGGTCCCCTTGCTCCGTCTCGGACTCAGACAACCTGTCTTGGCAGAGGTGGGCCAGAGTCACCTGATTAAATGACAACGGTATCAGTAGTCTACTGGTTTGGGGAGGACATGGACAACCCAAATCACCCGCAAGCCATGGGCAATCATT